TCCTAACCGAATGACCTAGATATTTGACAATCTCGCTTTTAGCCAACGTTTGGTATTGTTCCGTGGCCTTTTGTTTGCTTTACAATAATAATTACCTATTGGCTAGCTCTTAATATATCTCAATATAATACTATCGTATACATACTTATAGATTATAAGCTGAATCAATGGGAAAGTTTATTGTCTTATTTCTTTTAGTAATTATTGTTATTAAACGTTAAAGTGTTTAAATACAACACTTTAACGTTTTAAAACGCGATATATTAGTTAAACTTATTTAAATATATTTTCAAATAAGTTTGACTAATATATCGCGTTTTAAACCGTTAAAGTGTTTTATTTAAATGTGTACTACTCGCGTAAACTGTAGACAGTGTGTAGTTGTTCTTAAAATTTTACGAATACATTTTCAAAAAATGTGTTCTATTGTAGCCTGAAATGGCCACTATTTTATATCAAAAGTATATAAAATAATTAGTAGTAGTAGGCAGTAGGTAGTAAGTTTCTTTTTTAAATTATCCATCTGCAGCATATAAAATAATTGTTCATTTTAGGTTTATACAACCCTTTTAACGGTCTAAAACCATGTATAAAAAAGTTAATTGGCTTTTAACGACGACCCCATGATTCCGACGCTATTAAGAAGCTGTGGTTATTATAAGTTGTCACTGTTTAGTTTTTTCTTGAACAAAATCTGCTTTTGAAGAAGTATTGAAATCTTTGTATAATGCTTGTAAGAAATAATGTGTCTATTCAATTGTCCACTGTTGGTTAGGTGATTACTTAAAAATACAATTTACCAAATAACTTGAGGGAATCAGCCACCCAGTCAGGTGTGAATACGCATTTATGAAAACCAATGGTTTCCATTTAAGGACTCATAACAATGTCTCGCATTGAACCCGTGTGAAGAAGTGATGATAGAATTAAAATATAATTGACCATTGTTTTTCCATAAACAGTTGCAACACAAAAACACAATCGCATATTGTCGAATATATTAATTAACATAACAACTAAGTTTTTTTACATGTTATCGCACATGAAGGCACTGTATAATTTAACTATATATTTGCTCTACCAATTGAGCTACCGAGTCTGGTCGGCAAAAGCGCGGAACGCTGACAATGCCGGTTCAAGTCCTGCCCGAGTGGAATTTTTTTTCAATTTATTTTCGATTTTTTTTAAACTAAGTTTGTTTGTAGACATTTGGTTGTATGGCCGTAAAATAAGAATAATTTGACAAACTCATTGGTCTAATGGCAGCAAAGTACATTAAATAACCAACGGGACGCGGGTTCGATCCCCACCCAATTTTCCTAAAAACATATCTTCTAGGAATGTAGATATTAAATTGGTGGTAAGAATATCAAAAATTCTTCGCGGGGTAATGATTTTGTCAAGGTGTTATATGCTAGGGTATTTCATCTTCTATTGAGTAAACCTCATGTTTGTCAATCCCCTCTATATAAAAATATGTTATTATGTCTTAAATTAAAGACCGTTTTTCGAATTACATATGAATACATTTTATAAAGACTCGTCCAGCGAAGAAGCTATAAATTATTACTAACTATGCTGTTCCCCCCTTTTAATCGTAAGACAGTCTTTTTAAGGAATCTGTACTGTGCATTGTGTCTATAATTTCGAATTTGTGTTTGTAAAAAACGATAGTGGTATATGCCTATACTATTAAACTTATTTGAAAATTATTTTATCTACGGCCCCACGTTTCGGATGCTTTGCAGCAGCCGTAGTCACGGGAAGATACCCGTCTCATCAAATTTAACTAATATATATCGCGTTTTAAAACGTTAAAGTGTTTTATTTAAATGTATAATATTTCTAATTTTCCTTTACCGTTGCTCAAATAGCTCCCAATTCTGCATTGATGAAGACATGTTTTCAAATTTAATCTGATTTAGTAAAAATGAGTAAATTACACGGCATTAGTTTTATTTTTGCTTTAATTCGTTTTTATGAAAGTTAAAACTGTCTCTAGTTCGTCTTGCACCTTTTTGTTTGTGCCCCGCTTAAGATATTAATATTCGGAACATGAAGTTTTTCAGCAAACTAACGGCTCGATTGTGGACCGCTCTTAAAAATTTCTAACGGTCGCAAACTGCCCGAGGCAGTAATTTACAAATAAATATCTCCACACACGTTAAGCTTAACGTAATGAGTTATATATTACATTTAAGTTTTCTTGACAGTATATTATTATTATAGTATATTTTGAGATATTTCAACAAGAGATCCAACTTTAAAAGTCACTTTCTTTATTCAAGTAAAATTGAAAAATATATTCCCAATTCTTCTTATTTTGAATATAATTAAGCAAGTAGACGCATAGTGCATTTTTTTTTTATGTTCAGCTATTCTGAAAGAAATAATTTAAACTTGAATCTTTTATTATTACTTTATATATATTTATATATACATGTTTAAAATGTGTATATATAATTGATTGATTGATTTGCACGTAGTGGTGAATTTTTATCCAGGTTTTCGCCTCAATGATAATTTTAGTACTCCATTACCATTCATAATTTTGCATAATTTGCGATATTAAAGTGCATTACTTCGATCATATTTCGTCCTAAAAACAGCAATTTTCCACGATAACTCTTGGATATCCGTAATGCCTGAATAAATCATCTCTTTCGAAGTGCTAATATAGAGTTTTTATCGACGGAATCAGTTTCGTTTTTATATCGTATCTCAGTAATGGTTGCTCCGCCTCTTTGAAATGTAATTTGATCAAATTACTGCGAGGTTTTCTTGCTCAAGTACAGATGGCAAATAAGCTAGGTACTCACTCGCGTACCGTTACCGTGCCTTATACTAAAATCCTGTTTACCCTGTGGGTCATTGGGCGAATATTTCTGTGTTTCACTGATCGGTTTTGATTACAGGCAAGTAATTAATGATTAGACTTCTGTGCAATGCCCGATTGCAACATTCCATTGATTCCCCGCGATTCGAACCCTGACCACTCGCGCTTAACGCAATTCTAGACAACTCGTTTAACCATTTAGCCACCATGATGGAGTAGTAATATATATCGCTGCCTGTATCTACAAACAGCAGTCCTTAGCTTCTAAAAGCTGGCCTCACTGTGATATCCTTAGTTTGAATCTTGGGAAAACATAGTGTTGTAGTCAAATAATGCTAACCTCTACCTGTATATAACAGTCTATTTGTTACATAATAGAAGTATACTTTGAGTCTCTATTTGCAGTCCCAAAACATATAAATACTTTTTATTTTTATCGCCAGTTATACGATGGTTGCGACCAGCTGGTGAGTACCCAGCTTAAACAACTTTGGCAGATCGTTTTTTTGTAAGACTTACTTTTCTACGAGTTAAGATTAGTTTTATATTACGTCATATACGTCGCTTGCGTGGTGTTCTTTGATAATTTGTCTAACATAATGTGAATTGGTTTTGCTCGGATCAGCGGTTTTTATATTATTCTCGGTTTTACCTTTTTTGGAAACATTGAAATCTTTATTTTCTAAAATCGATTTTTAATTTATCCATATTTGTTTTAAACACTGGTTTTATAATTAAGCATTACACAATCTCTCGGTATTTGAACGCCCTTAGCACAACTTCAAACTCGCTATTATATAACATAGACGGGTGTTTATATGAATGTGTGTTGCCACACTATCACCGAAATTTATGGGCACTGCTGGCAGCTTTCGCGTAATCTAATCTTCATTAAGTGGCAAGTGGCAAAGCTTGATTGCGTAGATAACAACTGCGACGACATATAGTATTGTTTTTTAATGATCACTTGATAGTAGGTGAAATACCCCAGCCTATAGCATCTAATCACGATGCGCTGTCGCCCTATTTTGGCTTTGGATATTCGGAAATCCACAGACTGAAACCGAAACAAGATTAAACTTCACGGCTTCTTCAAATGTAAATATATTTGTTTCAGCTGTTTGTGTCAACTAAATCTAGTATACATTTTTGTAACGTGTTCATAACTTTTCTATTCTCTTTCTGCTTTCTTCTTTCTTTTAATAATCATTTTTATATGATTAGATTTCCAAGTACAAAAATTTTACAGTAAAGTGACTTGTTTGTAATGTACTACGTACTTTAACATCTACAAAATTTAAGCCCTTATCATTATAACCAAACGTTTGATATCGTTCATTGAAACCTGTTTAATATTTTAAGCTATAGAACATAACTAGACGAAACCATTACCCTTCCTTTTGCCTTCTCTGTCAGATAATAAGTGACATTAGGAAACGTAATTAAATAGATTTACATCGCATTGAGTTCACGTCACAATTAGCGGTTTTCAAGTGTTAATTCTGTTCAGGGCAATTAAGAAAAGAAGTCAAGGTTTGGGAACTAATGTAGTAACGAGTTGAAGCCGTGAGAGAATTGTTAATGCATTAAAATATGCAGATGTATATATGGCTGCTAGAGCCAGAGTGGCCTAATAACAAAATCATAATTTTCAATAAGTAGGAAAATAAAAATGCGCAATTATCTTAGGCGAAAATGATTTTGTACTATTTGCACAAGAATCATCTTAAGAAATTTCAGACACTATGCTCTTATAGATTAACATTTTTAGACTATAAAAATATACATAAGTCATAACTGCAGTTAGGCTACTTTGCCTCTAGGGGCCTCATATATGCCCTTGTTTCTTAAGAAGTTTTAAAAATATATTGGTTTATTTTTCCTTGTTAAAACTAAACATCAATATTCTAAAAGTACTACTTAAACCAAAATATCACTGAATAGAATTTAGGTGACAATTGACATAAAAGAAGCATATAACACATAGCTTAGAAGAGGGCATTTGTTTGAATTTACTTACGTAAATTGAATGCCTTCTACACTTTTTCTTAGACCTATGTCTTTATTCTCTCTTTTATGTAATGATGTGGCCTAGCTGTGGTTGATCTGATTTATAACCTAAATGTCCTTCTGCAGGTATCCAACGATGACATAGCATTCAAAAATGGCGCTACGACTCAAGAAAGACATAAAGAAAGCGTCGTATTACGTGTGGTTCTTGGGTGCGCAGGAGTCACGCGGTCTGCGCGGGGAGGAGTTTGCACTACCTGCCATACGGATACTGGAAGAAAGGGCTCGGGATTTAGAGCCATTTAAAGTCACGTTGCAGGTAAATATCATATAAATAACATCTTATAATGTTCACAACAATGTGTAAATGACAGTTTTTTTTATTTATTCTAAGAGAGCATGTTGTCAGTAATGCTGCACATTTGAGGTCTTTTGCCTTAATACTGTGCCTCTGTTTTCCATGTATCGCCAGCGCTTGTTGGGATATTGCGGGTTCGAGACCCGAATGACACATTCATTTAAATCGATAGATTTCTTAGACTCTCAATTAAATACTTTCTAAAGTTTACGCGACTAGGACACATTTAAATAAAACACTTTTAACCGTTTAAAAACATCAAAAAGTAGTTAAAAAATATTTTGTAAAATGTTACTAACACATTTCGAGTTCTAAATATGATAGATTAATCGATTCACGCTTTTAACTTGGCGATAAAAGGAGTAGCAGCGAGTTTTTTGCCAGTGCCTCTCATTCGTTCTGCGCCCTTAATTTGAGAACTGGTAGGAAATTTAGAGTCATTAGTTTTTACTGGTGTGACATGAGTGTTCACAACTGTACCTAGTTACCTACGTGAATAAAAGATTTTAGACTATGGCACAGCCTATTTTAAATTACCTTCTAATATAAAATTGTTCTTGTCTCCTTTGACATATAATATGTAGCATAAGTTAGAATAGGACAAAACATTGACATAATCATTATTACAGGTGTCGCACAAGGGCCTCAAGATCATACAAAATGTGACGAGTAAGGGAAAACAGCAGACGATCAAACACTTCATACCCCATGGAAGTATTACCAGCGCCGTGGTACAGGGAGACGTCGTCGCCTGTGTCTTGCTCCTGTATAATCCGATCACAGGCTGCCCTGTACACGTACACGCTTATCGGTAAGTTAATAGAACTAGAGATATAACCTCTAGGGTTTTCCCCGGATGGCGCTGTACCAAAAGGCAGTTCGTTGGAACTTGGTTGATCACAACTTACCCACTGTCTGGTATTGTGATCCAACAGCAGAAGAGGCTTAGTCTAATATTGTGAGGCAAAACCCATTACAACCTGACTTTAAAAAAATCCAAAGCAAATCTTACTTACTTAATCTGTTCGATTTCTCGGTTTATGTCTAAATTCAAAACGTAAAATACTCGTAAATAAACTCTATTTCTGACCAAGATTCAATCAGTTTTTAAGTAAAATTCAATCAGTTTAAAGTTTGAAAACATAGACAAAAAGTGCGATATTAAATAACTTACAACTTTTATGTTTTTCTAAAACGCAATCTTGTGATTCGTTCATTCGTTGGAGTTAAGCCACTATATAATATGTAGACATAATAATAGAACACTTTATTGCACAAATAAATAAAATACAAATAATTATTAAATTACCTTTTACAAAGTTATCGCACTGACGTGAACTTTGTATACAGAAAAGAGAAACCAAGTGAAAATAAATAGTCTGCAACGATAGGAGAAAATATGAAATAAAAACTTTTTGTTTAATACTTTTCATATGTACATGGTGGTTTATAAAAATTAACATTAGGTTTTCGAGTAAAAACAATTACGACAAGTGCTTGAACTGGCATCCATAGCGTTCCGTGCTATTGCTCTAACCAATTGACTAATTGCCTTTGGATTAATTAAATTTAGCATAGTAAATACGAACGTAACCGAATGTTCGGTAAAAGCCTTCGGTTTCGGTAAAAGCACATCTCTAATGTCAACAGAAAATTACCTCGCAACTCACTTGTCACAACAGCGCCATTTGGCTGCAATAAAATTACACCGGCATTATCTTCATGTGAAAACAAACTTACTCAATCCCGTCTGTGCCTTTCAAGTGAATGGACAGGAAATCGAACGGCGATAAAAAGATACGTTGATGTCCAATGCGTTTCTATTTGCATTAAAAGTCGTTATTAATATCACTTCTTGTATCATTGCTAATGAAATCGTAACGCGGACTTGCGATGGTATTTTCTCATTTAAAAGGAGATTTAGCGAGATAGTTTTCACTTCCTTTAAAGACTGATTCAATATTGAAGGTAAGTTACACAACATATCAATAGTTGAAAGTAGGAATGCTTATGTCTTAACATACTCGAGGGTAATAGTTTTTTTATGATAGAGGTGGAGAGATAAGCATGAAGATTCACTTTATGAAATACCCTACCCTACTCACATCGGCCGAACAGCCCGAAAGACAATGATATTATATTTATTAAACAAAACACTTTTATCTGTTTAAAACACAGAATATATTACTTAATTTATTTATAACTATGATCCAATGCGACAAAAACTTTCAGCAACCTTGGGTTTTTTAACATATGCTCGTGTAAGCTACAGACAAGATATTACGACATTATGTATTATTGAGTTACCTTTGTGTATTGCTGATCGCTTAAAAAATCAATGAGCGCTTGACATTTGTTGAGAACATAACCTTTTGATCTTCAACAATGCGCCAAGAAGGCAAAAGTATTAAACATTGTTCGCAATATTTAAACAATAATTTGTATGAAGGTAACAGTACCTTTATTTTGGATTTTGCTACCAACATACATAGTTCACTGTCATAAATCTATATTAATATTATAAAGCTGGAGTTTGTTTGTTGGAACGCGCTAATCTCAGGAACTACTGGTTCGAATTGAAAAAAATGAGTTTTTGTCAATTGGACCGTTGATCGAGGCAGGCAATTTACGCAGATGGAAAAAGTCCTGAACAGTGAATTTTCATTATGGTTTCTATCGATTACCGAATATCCAAAGCCATAGGTCATCGGCATATCTTAACTTGGGCTGCCGTTTTTTTAAGCTAATCATCTTATCCTCTGCTGTCAGAATAATAATAAGAATTTTTAAAGTTAAAATCGAATTGTCAAAGAATTCTTACGGTTTAAACCAATCAGCGTATTTGAATGGATTACATAAGAAATTACACATATAGCATATATACTTATGTATAATATGTTATGTTAACGATCACACGTGAAGGTATGTGATTACATAAGTACTCGACCGCTAGCCATGGGTCAACCACCTATAGTGGACATATACCACTTACTGTTGATGGGTGAACAAAGAGAGAGAACAAAGTGACATCCCGTTGTGAATGGGGCGAAAAAATTGTCACCCTGCCCGACTAAAACGACTAGTTTAGTCGGGCAGAGTGAAATTTGTAGTATATTTTAATAGGGGCAGACCAAATGCGAACTATAAAATGTATATAGGCACACTTTTATTACGAATCATTTGACAGATTGCCTACTGAAATCGGCTGGTTTGGAACATATATACATACATACATATACGTAAAAATCATTGCCCTTCCTTTTCTTTTATCTCTTCTTGCTTCGCTGTCGTCCTTTGTTTTGTAAAACTTACATAAATCTCTCGAACATTAAAAAAATATTGGACAGGTTAGGTATTATCTGTAGTTTACGTTCATAGAACACATAAATACAACAGTTTTAACGTTATAAAAAGCAAAATATATAAGTGAACTTATTTTTAATTTAACTACGGCCCGACGGCCCCTAATGTCAAAGTCAAATATGCTATGCCATCTGTTTCGTCATAGTAGGTATTAGGAGAAAATGTCTCTACATAATTGACTTCACCTCTCGTTCTCTGGTACCTATGCTGTTATTTGGGATCTAGAGTTTTTTATATCCCAGGCCCCATAATCCCAGGTGTTTGATATCTGGGGACCGTCCTTCTATTTAATTAAAAATAAGATCTAATTACATATTAAACTGAAACGAATTATAATACTTAACATTATTTGTGACACACATTTTTGTCATCTAGTAAACTACAAACTATTAAGCAATTAATGAACTTTATAAATTAAACAAGTTATCCACCATTACTTAGTGAATTCTTCGAATACTTAACAATGTAATTACCATGTAAATAGTACCAGAAGTGTCCTTTATCTATAAAATGCGAAAACGAAGCGTAAATATGATGACATTCAAAGTATTCAATACGAATGGCGCAACAAGTGCCGTAGCGGTACTTGTGCATCTTCATACTGAAGGCTATTCATATATAAACGATTCTAACCTTTAATCCGAGTCGCTTAAGGTTTATCTTAGCTTGAAAATAAATTGATACCAGTTGAATGCTTATTTATTGGCAATCTTGTAAGATGACGTGTAACATTTAAGAAAATTGTTGGAATTTATTATTGTACGAGATGTAACCGGTTTGTTTAATTTAATAATACCTTTTATCATGTTTACAAGTTCTTTGATATGAAAATCTATAAATGTTTTGATCAGACAATCTTTGTTGTTTTATTTTAGGTCACAGATTCCTAACAGTGACAAATACACCTTACTTGCAAGATATTTGAAAATTTGTTGAAAGGCAAATGTTTATTAAAACATACAACAACATACGAACAACAAATATGGCTAAATTATATACGCGTTACGGAAAGCTTTAGGGCTGATATACCTCAGGTCCAAACCCTTTGAAAACTGTCAATTTGTATCGCAAAGAATAAAAATTACTCATGATCTCCTAGACATCAGCCTTATGTATCTCTAAACAGGCGCAGAAATATGTCTGTTTTGTAGTAAGATACAAATGGAAGACCACTTAACGTTTAACAACTTTAACCTCAAAACAACTTGCAAATCAGATTAGAACCCAGTCAGAAGGTGCTGATAGCAGCATTCCTGTTTATACCAGTTTAATGGTGACCGTAAGATTAAGCTGTTAGAAAACAAAATTATTACCCTGCTACATTCGTGAAAGTACTGGAATAAATAATATTTTAATTAAAGTTTCTTTAATAGAAATTGGTACTTCAAATTAAATTAATTACCTAGTACTCCACGGTCATAGATTGGAACATACTGATGGTACTGGTATTGTGATGAGCAGTTTTTTTTTCATGATAGACGAGAACAGACAAACAAACAAAGCATGACGTTTACTTGATAGTCGCGCTGTCGGTTATTATGGCTTTGAATATTAGGAATCCACAGACTGGAACCCAAACGCGTTTAAACTTGACAGCTTTTTCATCTGTGCACTGCGGTTCCTGACATGGACGGAATCGGTAGTCGGAATATCAAGACTACCAATTTTATAGCCAGATTTCTAGACGAAGTCTAAAATGTTTTAGGAAAGTTATAATTAGTAGTATTAGGAACATGTTGGACCCGGTAGGGGTCGAACCAACGTCCCGTTGATTAAGAGCCAAAATGTGAGTATATGTACTCATGTTCTGTCACTAGACAGTGTCCACCAAAACATATTTTCTCAATCAAAACTCTAAATATTTACCTTCAATTCATAACCGCAACAAATAATTAAGGTAATTGACAAATAGTCAATCTATGTTACTTAATTAAGATTCCTTGACCAGTTACATTAAACTAAAATTTACCGAACTATGCGGTACGACATTCCGATTAAGTTATGTATGTCAAAGTTGTATCGATTTGAAACGTGGCTTTTAAACTTAGATACAAACTACTCACATAGACCCAGTGAATACTATTGTGTACTATACCCTGTGATATGTGTCTATTGTATAAAATTCAATTCACATGCATTAAAATAAATAATATATTTTTAATAATAAAGTTTTAACGTAAAATAACACCAAGACTTTGTCGATCCAATCAAGTAATAATTTTAATAAAACACTTTAACGGTTTAAAACGCGATATATACGTTTCTGATGCATCCGAAACTCGGTTTTATCCTTCCTCAATAAAGCTCTAACTAAAACAAAAATAATTTTAACTCCTCATTTTTATATAAATACATTTTAAGCTTTATATATATACAGCTTGTGCTTACACTACGCTATACTTTGTCAAATATATAATGACAAGTTTGATAACTCAAGCCTATAATATG